AAAGCTTGAAGTTATTGATAAGCATGATGTGTGGATTTTTTTGCAAAGCATGCTGTTTGTGCATGACCCTTCAAGTATGTGATGCTTACTGGGTACCGTGGTTGTACTCACCCCTTATTTTTCTCACCAGACTTTGTAGGTAAAGGGTTACTCTTTGGAATGGTGGTGGCGAGGAGGAGGCTTGATCGGAAAGACCATTAGCTGTGCTGCATGCATCTAATTCTTTTAGTTAGGATAGTTGAAATTATTTCATCTTGTAGTTGTGTTGTTAATGGGTGGTTTTGTTTAGTTTTATGGTTTAGAGGATATTTTAAGGTGGCCAATTCATTATTCTTTTTAGAACATTAATTTTGTTAGCTTCTTGAACTCTGGGACTGTAATCTTCTTAGGATACTTATGAATACATTTGTTTAAGTTGATCGAACTTGAGTTAGCTTTTGCTTCGTTGTCATTCGAGGTTATATTCATTTAGTGGATGGTCTATGGTTAGTAAAGGTTTCCTTGAAGAGTTTGGATAATGTTAAGTTGGTAATTAAATGGATTATCTGTAAAGGATTTGAGTTCTCTTAAATCTTTAGTGTTGTTGTTTTAATTGTACAAGCTCTCGATTATTGAAATCAGAATAGCGCAGAAGAAGTATGGTAGTTTTATTGTTTAGTCTTGTTGTGAAGATAATTCTCTTGTTTAAGTGAACATTTTAGGTAGTCTTAGTAACGGTCCCCGTTTGGAAATATTGAAAATCCTGGGGCGTTACACAGACAATTCTTATAAAGATGGTTATCATTACAATAAGAACAATTGAGTTCATTAATTTGGCAAACGGTGGAAGAGGCAGATGTGCTGGTGTGTTCTTCATTTCCAAGGCCATCTCTTTAAGCATTTGGTTTGTTGTCACCATGTCCTTCTGCATCGAGGTTGCTATGTCCAACGCCACCATACCTGCTTGATCTTGCTTCTTAGGTGCATGTTTCGACCTTTGGGAACACCATAACTCATTATGGGAAGCTAGATCCTCTAAGATATCAACAATTTCGTTGAAGGTCTTCTTTGTGCAAGCTCCATTCGCGACGTTATTAAGCATCATCTTATTTGGATGGTCCAATCCTCAGAAGCAATGCTCGATCTGGATACATGTGTGCAATCCATGGTTTGTACACTTCCTTAGCAACTCCTTGAATCTCTCCCATGCCTCATGTACTAGTTCATGACTGTATTATCTAAATGTGACAATCCTCTCTCTTATGTTAGCATGGTGAGTGGGAATGAAATATTTTGTAAGGAACTTCTCTACTAACGACTCTCAAATGGTAATTAATCCTGGTGGGAATGAGTTAAGCCACGTTCTTGCTTGGTCCCTTAGAGAGAATGGAAAAAGAGTTAATATCAAGGCATCATTAGTAATACCTGGCAATCTAAATGCATTTGCAATTTGAAGAAAAGTTTTAAGATGGTTATGAGAGTCTTCATGTTCACGCCCTCCGAACTGTCCCAATGTCTGAAGCATTTCAAAAATAAGTGGTTTAAGTTCAAAGTTGGCGGCCTCTGGAATAGGATTCAAGATGACTGAGTCTAAATTATGGAAAATTGTAGTTGCATATTCTCGCATGGCTATGTCTCTATTATCTACCATCTGGATATGGTTAAACTCCTCATTATTTTGTTGACCTCTATCTCGACCCTCCATATTGCCGTTTACATTGTCAAATGGTGGATCTGGAACTTTGTCCATAAATGTGATGGTCTCTCAATCTCGCTTTTAGGATGTTCTTATACTTCTTTCTCTTTTTGTTTTTCTAATTGTTTTCTAAGTCACTGTTCTTTTCTCCCCCTACGACAGGTTTATTCAATTTCAGGATTGAAGGGCAAAAGAAATGAGTCTGTTCTCATGCATTAACGATAACCTTCGAGGTTTGATGTAAATAAAAAAATTTGAGAGCAGAAACGACAATTACAAAAACCGATCACAAAAAAAAGACTAAAACAAATTGTCCTCGGCAACCACACCAAAAATTTGTTTGGGAATTTGAAATTGAAATAATGAATAGAGCGCAAGTGTATACCTATCACAAGTAATAAAATGGAATGAGTATTCCGAGTATCAATCCACAAGGACTAATGAAATCTTTTTTCTTATTTTATTTTTATAAAACAATAGTGATCATCTACTTTGCAATTGATTTTGAGGTAACAGATATCACAATTGATGTTGGTTTTGATGTTTAAAAACTTAATGAAATAAATCCTGCCGAATTACTTCAAATTAGCTAAAAATATATACAATTTTTCTTGCTAGGCACTAGGCGCCTCTATTGATTTTTCGTGGGTTCTACTTTGTAATCCTCTTATGTCTAAGTGATATTGAAGAGATAAATTCATTTCTAATATGTCTATTAGAAAAGTAGACTTATTTTAATAAAAACCAATCGTAACCTTGGGTCGAGGTCCTATGTGTAGTCTACCTAAACGATGTCTAAAGCTTTTCTCCCTAAAGTTAAATCATTTTAGCTGTGGAAATATATCAACCTTTTTAGAATTGATGTTTGGTTAAAATGGTAATTGGCCAAATTAATCTTAACTTTTTAAAACAATTTTAAATGATAAAATAGGTGAAACCCCTTTTTGCCTTACAAGATTTTTAAAAGTTTTAGGTAATTATCCATAATCGGGCTTGGAAAAACAAATTTAGCTCATCATTTCAAAGGAAAACAAAATTGAATGATGTTGTAAATGAAAGACATCATTAAAATAAGAATAGAATAATAACAAACTATAAATGGTGGAGTTGTAACCCGAATGACTATTACCCGTTCTCTTTCGAGATTTAGGGAGGTCGATTCTGCAAAATTGTGTGATTACAAACTTCGTAGAGAGAGAGAATAGAGATGTAAAATAATAAAACTTGTTGAAATTAATTATAATGGAGTTCAAAACTTAACACGGAAAAGTAAAACAAGCTGGAAAATAAGTTTTAACTAAACAAAGAATTGTAAAGACTAAGCTTTAAAATAACAAATAACTAAAAAAAACTAAAGGAAAAACTAAATAGGTTAAGAACAAATTGTAGAAAGCTTGAAAGATGATCATTAGATGATGAAGGAAGTAAAGGAGGCTGCTGTATTAATTTATAAGCGGCTCCAAGGTGGTTAGGGAGTCGAGCTTTTTGTGGAGAACCATCCTTTAACAACTTCTTTAACTTAATTTGTTATTGAATTGACCTCTTTGCTTGCATGTATGACACATAGAGAAGCTAAGAGAAGCTTTCAAACACACCAAAACGTTCATTTCTCATTCACGACAATTTCAACACTAGACAAGGTGTCTGACACCTAGCTGGGTAATTTCCTGCACAAAATCATAATTTTTTGTTATAAATCAACTCTAAATATTATAAAAAATGTCCTTATAAGATAAATCCGAATGAAAGGCTTTGAACACTAAAGTAAGTTTAAAATACAATTTCTGAGTGTAAAATAATGAAAAATAGCACCTAACTAGCTTCTTTTTGACCGTGTAAACAAGAAAAATCAATTATCTCGCCATCACACCATGTAAAGAAATAATTAGAAAGTGGGATTTAGTAGAAATTCATATCATTGATCATAGAATTAAAAGCTGTCATCCCTCCAGCGATACTTCCACCAGAACTCCTTTCGAAAGGCCATCTGACTCCTCCCAAAAAGCAATAACCACCAAGGGCTCCCAATCCTCCCAAAAAGCACCTCTCTATGTCTGATTGGATCCAACAAAAGAATCCGTCAGCCAACTGGAATTTCACCGAGAGATAGAGGAGAGACCTACCAAGGAGTCCACAGTTGAGCCCTTTTTATCATGATTGTTCTTTCTCAATGACTCATTAATCAGGCACCTTTTACCTACTGTGCCCAAGCCTTGCACATTCCATGACAGGATCTTCAAGAGACACGAGACGAGCCCTCCTTTCTCTTCGATCCATTTCTCCGCTCATAGTTGATTGTGGATCTTAGGTCATTAAGTTCTTTTTTTCCTTTTCCTTTACCTTTATTGTACCATTTTTCAAGTCCTCATCTTTTGGAATCAGAACAACTTTGTCATTTAAGATGTCCAACAATTGACGAAAGTTTGTTCCATCTGATCCATGAACAACCAGTTTAAATCGTCTTCACTCTCTTGTGACTCTTCGTTTTGCAGCGAAATGAGGACCGAAAAGCATTTATCACCTATCAAGTTAAAAGTTTCCATATTCCACAAGTCTAAGGGCATATTCTTGATTTTAGTCCATCCACCATAGGACAGAATTACTGACATTCCACCAGGAGAGCTATTATTCCAGACTTCAAACACCACCGGGTAGTTTCCCATCATGCACCAATCCTTGTTATGGCATGAAGATCTTACTTTCTCAGAGTCGTGGCATGTCAGCATCACTTTGTCGAGGTGGAACAGATTGAGCATGTTGGGTTTTGACAAAATATTGGAATTAAAGTTGTCCTACATTGGAAGAATACAATGATGCTCTCCATGTGCTAGAAGTTGTCCCACATCGGAAAAGTACAAGGAGGAGATGTGTTTCAATTACTATAAAAGGAGTTCATGGGCTTGAGTTTTAATCATCTCAATTGAAATACTTTAAGCCTAATATACTAGCTCTAGTTAAATGAGCGGTATTTGCTTTGAAAGAGTGTTTTTAGTGTAATTGGGGTCGGGGAGAGAAATCTGTGTGATTGTAATAATTTTTCACATAGTGGATTTTCCCTTGTGGGCCGTGGTTTTTTCTCCGGTTTGGAGTTTTTCCACGTTAATTCTTGTGTTTCTTTATTTTATTGCTTTCTTTAAATTTCTCAGTTATTTTCTGCTTATTCCTGCGGTAGAAGTAGGAGATTTTTCCCAACAGAGCATACATTTATCATGGATAAATTCCTTAAAAACTAGTTTAATTTTATGCCAGTCGTCATGAACTTTTGCCTGGTAAAAACTATCGTCTACTCCCATGGTAGGTCATATATTTCACTATCCACTTGAATATAAGCTTCAAGAGAAGTTGGCTTTCTGACTTCCTTCTCCTGTTTGAATAGAACTTCTTGGCCACCCAATTCAGCAAAGGTACAAGACTTTTCCATTTGAGAAGTACCACTTTGTTCATCCATCCTTTTAGCCTTATTCTCCATTCCTAGATAGTTCAACCTTTTAGTCTTATTCTCCATTCCCAGATGGTTTCATAATCTCTGCTACAATTCCCTTTTTATTCCTAAGTTTCTGTGCCCACATGTTTGTCTCTCAATTTCTCCATTTCATGAAAAACTTGTGGTTTCAAAGCAACATCAAGTCTCTTTCTTCTAAACAATATAGATTTATCCGACTTCTCGAATCCCAATCGAGCATGGAGACTTTATGCTCCACTGCTCATCTGGTTGCTTTGGCAGAGGCTACCATGGTTTGGTTATATAA